GGGGGGGGGGGGGGAGACAGCCCCTCATTCATTAGATAGTTCTGATTATTAGGACTTTCTCCCTTAAACTGGACAGAGAGATGACCCTTTCCCAGGAGACCTCCAGGAACAGCCCTAAATAGATCTCACTCCAAGGATATTGGGAACAGCTAATGTATTTTTCAGACCAAATGCACTGGTTTTCTTTGCATTGTCTCTGTAGATAAATCCTCCAGCCAGGGTTCTTTTCATTAAAAAAGTAAACCTGCTTTCTGTCTAATTCCCAGCTCAGCCAATGCAGGACTTTCTCAAAGGGGCAATGGCTGGCAGACACACCGCATTCTTGTGTAGCAATAACACCGATATTTAAGGAAAACAAAAGCTGACATATTTTGAGAATTTACTTGTCCCAGGGACTATTAAAAGAGATGTACAAATATTAGCACATTTAATTCTCACAATAACCCTATGGGGTAGTATCTGAGGTTGAGCTCCCTGGAAGCAGAATCAGAGACAGGGATTCGGGTGGCCTGGGTTTACTGAGGGAGTGCTCTTCAGAGAAAATCTACTGTGGAGTTAGGTGATGGGGTAGGTGCCAGGCAAGGATGTGGCTTCAGGTAAAGTCAAGCCTTGGCTGGATCCAAGGAAGGCTCTGGGGTGTAAACCCAGCTGCAGAGCTGTTCTTCCTGGAGGCCAGAGGACCAGCCTTTTATACACCCATGTCGACCAGACACTGGCTCTGTGCTGCCTCCCTCCGGGTGTGGGTGCAAAGGGTGTCTAACTCCTGGGCAAGTTAATGCCCACCTGGGCAGCCACAGCACCTGGGGAATGGACAAACTGGCCAGGTGTAGGGATCTGGGAAGGGCACCACCACCACCTACTATGCGGGATGGGTACCTGTCACTGTCACATTTTACACCAAGCAGTGGCAGGCCTGGACTGACCCAGATGCTGAGGGATAGCTGGGCGGCACTGGGAGGCTGCAGAGCCTGGGGGCAGCCGCTCAAAGCGATCTATGGTTGTGATATTCTCCGCGAGCTCAGCAGCCTGGTGCAGGCGCAGAGAAGGGAGCCAGACAGTTGGCGGGACAGCACTGTGGGCGGGGCGTTATGGTGGAGACAGCGATTGAGGAGCTGGAGCGTGCAATCTAAGCCAGACAGGAGCAGGAGAGAAGGCAGGAGGGGTCGATAGAGAAGAAAAGTCGAGCCCTGGCCGGTTTGGCTCAGTGGCTAGAGAGTTAGCCGGTGGACTGAAGGGTCCCGGGTTCGATTCTGGCCAAGGGCACGTACCTTAGCTGCAGGCTCGATCCCCGGCCCTGGTTGGGGTGCGTGCGGGAGGCAACCAATTGATGTGTCTCTCTCACATCGATGTTTCTCTCTCTCTCCCCCTTCCACTCTGAAAAGCAATGGAAAAATATCCTTGGGTTAGGATTTTTTAAAAAAGAAAAGCCGAGGTCTGTGAAGTGTAGAAACAGGTGTGGTGGGGGTGACTGAGAGCCGGGAGCTGTGGTTTGTTCTGCTGACTGAGGAAAACCTGAACCAAGAAGTAACTGCGTTGCTCTCCTTTCCCGCCTGCACCCGGCAGGATGGCTCGTGCAAAGAAAGGAGGTGAGAAGAAGGGCCTTCTGCCCTCAAGAGGCCGTGACCAGAGCACACCACCCATTCCCAAGCGCACCCGTGGAGTGGGTTTCAAGAAGCGTGTCCCTCAGGCACTCAAAGATCCGGAAATTTACCAAGAAGGAGATGGGACTCCAGATGTTATCATTGCCACCAGGCTCAACACAGCTGTCCGGGCCCAAGGAACAGGGAATGTCCCATATCGTATCCAGGTGCGGTTGTCCAGAAACCGTAATGAGGGTGAGGATTCACCGAACAAGCTCCACACATTGGTCACTTACGTTGTCACCACTTTCAAAAATCTACAAACAGTTAATGCAGGAGAGAACTAGCTGCTGATTATCAAATAAAACTATAAAACTCCAGAAAAACCCCAAACAAACAACAACCTCTGTTAACAATGTCACTTTGGATTATTAGGACCATAGAGAATGGAAGATTTCTCCAAATGCAGGCATTTTATTGAGAAATAGGCATGATGATCCTGGATGGCAAAATTCAATAAAGATGTCAATCCACCTACTGTGAACTTGAGGCAGTAAATCAAGATTCCAACATGTCTTGGAGAGTGACAGAAAGATAGTAAACTTTACTTGGAATAATAAATATGCAAGAAAAGCAAAGGACATTTTGATAAACAATAATGGGGATGGACTAACTCTCATTTATTAAAATGTATTATAAAGCAACAGTGGTTCAAGTATAGATAGAAATATTGATTAAAATAAGCCAAGTATTCCTAAGAATTTAGTGTATGATAAAGTTAGTATGCTGAATCAGTGTGAAAACATATTTAAAAAGTGGTATTTGGACTACTGACTATTTGGGAGGGGCAAAATCTAGACGCAACATACCAAAATGTATTAAATAATTAAATGTAAAAACAGGACCATAAAAGCACTACAAGGAAGGAGAGATGAATTTATAATCCTGCTTTGGGGAAAGATCTTTTAAGCATGACACTAAAGGGAGGAATCATAACAGAAATGATTTATAGATTTTTACCCTTAAAAGAACTTTCCTTACATCAGAAAACATAAATAAAAATTAAGAGCAAGATAAATTGAGGAACTTGTTTATAATATATATGTCATAAAAGGGTTAATTTATTTGATCTACAAAGAACTCTCATAAAGTAATAGAAAAGATAAAGACCCTAATAAAGAAATTGGCTAGTGAGATGAGTAAGCAATTCACAAGAGGTACAGAGCTAATATGCAGAAGATAAAAGTTCAATGTCAATAACATAGAAATACAGATTAAAACACATCACTAATTTTAATCTATCAGATAATCAAAAACGGAACTGGTAATAGTCACACATTCAGTGCTGGTGGGAGTGTAAACTGCCAAAATCTTTTAGAAGAAAAATTTGACCGAATTCTTAAAAGTAAGTATGGACTTTGACCCAATTATTTCACTTCTGGGCATTTATTCTAAGAAGATAATTTAGAATTACTGCGTATGTCTCGGTACCATAAAAAGAGTAAAGAATTGGAGGTGACTGCAAATATCCAATATTACAGGAGATTGGTTAAAGAAATGAAGGTAAATCTATGTCAGATATTTGAAGCCTTTACGACTGATAGTGCAAAAATGGGTTACTGCAATGAAAAGAAGTTCATAGCATAGGAACTAAAAAAAAAAGATTCAAAACAGTGTCCAATACAACTCCATACACTTGACTTTGTATATGTGTATAACTGGATGTTAAATTGAACATATGCATATGTAACAGGATTTTAAATTGGAAGTTTGACTGAGACAAATAGATATAAAATTCCAAAGTTAAATGCAGTTTTTCAAAGGAATCAACTAAAAGTCTGTTTCATAGAGCTATTTATCCCAAAATAGGACACAAATGGACCAAGAAAGAAGAGGGGGGGAACTTTGAAAGAGGAAGTTTGGGAGAAAGAACTGTCATGTGAGCATTTGCCCATGTTCTCCACCCTAGAGAGAAGGGTGCCAGTGGGACGTCTAAACGGCCTGCTGTGAGTCCCCTGCAGCTGGGAGTCCCGACTACGCCTGAGTCACACCTGAGAAATCTATTGGGAGAGACCACGGGCCACTCTCCCGGAGCCGAGGGGAGGAGGGCTGTGGCTGTCCCACAGGTCCGTTTGTATTGAAGACGCCACCACACGGCCACAGTGGACCAGAGGTAGGGCGTGGATTGGCTGGGAGCTCTTTTGAACTCTGCCCAAGGGGACCTCTCAGAAGGGCAGTGGGCTCTGAAACAGAGGGCCTGGGAGGAGTGGACCCTCGAAAACTGGAGCTGAGCCGAGACTGAGCAAGTCGAGCTCACCCCCTTCACGGAAAGTGCAAACGAATGTTCCCAGGAGCCCCTCTGCTGGATGCAAAAAAAAAAAAATGCCACGAGAGACAGAATCAGACTTGGCCTCAGACACGTACTAGGCGAGGAGCTTGAGGCCATCTCAGAACAGTGTCGGGCAGGCAGACTGATTTCCCACCCTCCTCTGCCTCCTCCCTCCCTCCCCCCAGAGGGTCAGAAGGAGCAGCGCCTGGCAGGGAACCCGCCCTCCAGGGAGGGGCGGAGGGCGCAGAGCTCAGCTTCAATGAGAATTGGCACATTTACTGGTGTATTGGACCGGGCATCCCAGTTTCTGAGTCACAGTTATAGCCACAGGGTTTTGCATAATCTAATAGTATCAGAAAAGTCATGGGACTACCTGATTTTTTAAAAAACCAAGATGCAGAGGAGGTAATGGCCCCTGCAGGTCTCACCACAGCCCCGATTCTGCTGGTTACACCTCTGAGCATCATAAAGGAGCAGAAAGAAGACAGGAGGAGTGAGTGTTCCTGAGTGGGTGCCGTTCTAGGCGTGTTTTATGCTCTTTTTACTTAAAAATTCTTTCATATATATGGTCTTTATAGTAACAGAATTCGTTTGGAGGGAGGAAGCCTTTTGCTGCTCAGCTGTAATTCTGAGCGGCAGCCACAGTGGGTGTGGGGCAGCCATGCTGGTCAGTCACGTTGGTTGGGGTTTTAGAGACCAGAGAAGTGAGGTTCAGTGACAGGAAATGATTACCCAGAGTCACAGCTGGTCAGTGGTGAAGCCAGGATGTTAACCCAAGCAGCGACATTTTCCACACCAGGCTGCCTCTCGGCCCGTGCCCGCCGCTGAGAAAGGAACATGCTGGGGGTGGGGGTTGTCATCTGCCCATTCTCCCACCCCCTCTCGTAAGATGGGCACGTACTCACAGGCTGGAAGCTGGGGCAGATGAGAAGTCTGTGGCCAAGAGCCGGACCAAACCTGTGGCCTTGGCCTCCTCAGCAGAGGAGACAGGAGCGTCCTCGACCACCACCCCATTTCCCCTCTTCTCTGCTAATACCGTCCTTTCCCGGGTGCACCCGGGAGACGGAGCCCAGGGGTGCAGCCATGCTCTGGTCCAGCAAACCCCAAAGGCATGCTCTCAAATACACCGTGCGCCGTTCTTGCTAAGGCGTAATGTGTACCGGGGGGTTCTTACTTCTATTTGTTTTGGGTTCGCTCAGTACAGGCTTTTCCTTTTCCATGCACCAAACACAAATGGAGCCCTCAAATCTAAGAAGCCATTGACTGTAAGGCACTTCCTGACATCGGAGAGGTTAAAATGCCAAGAGGTGGCCTGTGAATATGGTCAAGGGCTGTTGATTGAAAGACAATCAGCTGACTTCAGAAATGTTTGAAGGTGAATCAGTGTGTGTCTCAGAGGTGATGAAACAGGCAGGGCTGTGCTCTCTGAAGCGCGGTAGGGCTTTTGCGAGTTACTCTTGCTGCAGAGACAGCGGGGACAAGTTGACTCGATTCTTGACTTGGCTGAGTGGTGTGAGCTTGGGTGAGGGTTAGATGTCCTGATCTTTGGCTACTCGATCTCCCTAGTAAACAGCTTGGCGCTGGGCTCCTTGCTGCTCCCACGGGTTTGGTCAAGTTCCATGGACCAGGGCTGTGCTGTGGGCTGTGCACAGCCTGTGCCGTCTGCTCAGTGCCGCTCACTTTTCTCTTGCCTTGGGCCTGAGAAATGGAGCGGTTTGCACCTAGCATCGTTGTGGTGAGCAGCGTGCTCTGGCCAGGTGTTTATTTAAGGTCACACACACCCAGTTACTTCTAAATACTTGGACTTAATTTTTCTACTTTGTGTTCCTTTGCAGGGTGGGTCCATAGCGTACAGTAAAGAAAGTGGTGACAATAGTGGTGACAGGACTAGACCATAAACCTGCGAAAATGCCATTTTGCCCCCGAGATGTATTCCCTGGGTACCTGGTCTGTCCAATGTGAGACTGAGACTTAATGAGACTTGAAAATAAATAGTAAGACTACTAAAACAAACACACAGCTCTCAGCAATAGCTAGAACAGTAGCCTGTCTAGTAGGAAAGAAACAGAAGAACTGAACAGCTTCCTCACCAGCAGGAGCTAATGGACACTGCGGAACACTCTGCCCCGAAGCCCCAGGATGCACACTCACTCCAGCACCCATGGGCCATTCATCCAGACTGGCCACATCCTGGGCCATAAAACACACTCGACAAATTTAAAAGAATTGAAATCATGCAGAGCCTCTTCTCTGACCATATTGGAATCTAGTTAGAAACCAATAAAACAAATATATAACAGCATACTTATCCAAATGAGTGCCTCTGCTCATCAGATGGCCAATTTTAGAGGCTATTTATTAAGTAAACTTTTTTGGGAGGTATTTACTATATGCCAAGCTTTGAGCTAGGCGGTGGGGACACCACAGGTGAACAAAACAGTCTCCAGCATAAGGGAGCTTGTGTCAGACCAACCGGGAAGCACACGGGGCCAGCACAGTGAGAAGGGCGCCAGTGTAGTGAGGCCAGCTCCTCAGGGACCTCAAGGTGTCAGGAAGGCTTCATGATGAAGGGGCCTCGTGTGGCAGCTGGTCTGATGCTAGATGGGCTTTTCCACTCAAAGAACATGGTTTCCCCAAAGACTTTGACTCCGAGTGTCTGTAAGTGGCTGTCTCGGCTCCAGCTCCCCAGGACAACCGTTGCTTCCTGTTCTTGTGTCTGGTCTGGTTGACAGATGTGTGTGCCCTGCTTTGTCCCTGTGGAAGATGGGGTTCGCGTTCCCCTCCCCTTTGAGTCCTAAGTATAATGGTCTAGGATATCTTCCTTGGGAACTGCTTCTGGGACCCACACAGGGGCTACACAGAGAACCTAGAGTATCTGCCTTATGCTTAAAAAAAATACATGGTGAACCCAAGCCTGTCACCCACTGAAATGGAGCCCATCACGGAAGCAGGCAGACTGGCCCCCACTGGGACGCCCAGGGGAGTGAGGCTCTGAGAGAATTCCCAGCAGGAGGTTGTAAATGTTCTCACGAGGGGCACAGTGGGGTTAGACACCCAGCCCCCAGAGGGACTCTGGAAGGGGCAGTGCTGGCCTCAGCACTCAGGATGCAGTGAACTTAGTGGACACGAGTTAAGTGACCTATGGGTGTTTAGCAGGGTGTGCTCTACATTTGATTAAAAATAACAAAACAACAGCAAAAATTACACCCTAACTATGTAACATATGGGGCTGCACTGCCATGGTTAGGAAGGACAGTCAGAATCTTACAAACCCAAGGACACCGTGTCACAGGTGTCACCAGGGAAAGGGCCACCCAAGACCATCTAATGTAGGGGCTGCAAACATAAAGGCCTTTACGGCCAGGAGGTAATGTGGCTGAGAGAGCTGGGTTCAGTGCGGTGCGTAGGGATCGCGGGGGTGCGGCACACGAGCCTCCCCGCACGGTCATCATTCTACCATTGCTCACACCTGCGTGGTACCCACCACCGCTCCGGCCCCTGCTCTAAGGGCTCCCCATCTAGGAATTCATTTATGCCTCACAACAATATTATGAGGTGGAGATTACTATCGCCCTCACTTACGGATGAGAAATCCAACGCAGAGAAGTGAGACCGCCAGCTAGAAAGTGGTAGAGCCAGGAACTGAACTCGGCTCCCAAGTCTGGGTTTATAACCGGCACACTGCCCAGCTAAGGGCTTTGCATTTCAAAAATTTCTGGAGACTCTATGAGCACAAAACAAGTCACACCTGCAGACTGTGAGGTCTTTGAGTTTGCAGCTCCAGATATTTCAGTGCCCTCATCTCACAGGCAAGGAAGCTGCGGCCTCCAGAAGAGATTTGCACAATGTGTGACTTGCTGGTTAATGACAGACACTAGGAGAGAACACAGCCCTGACCCCGCCCTGCTAGCAGGCTTGCCCGCACCCCACCCTGGGGCTGTTTGTCCCTCAGGGCAGGAGGGGGTCCAGTGGGGGTGACACCAGCTTACCCTTGCCCAGCCCTGAGATGGCATCGGTGATCACCACCACCTTGTTCTGCACGGCTGACTTTGACCACAGCCTGGACACCTCTTGGTAGATGAAGAGAAGGCCGCTGATTCCCAGGAGCAGCAAGGGCAGGATGAGCACAGCTGTCACCCCCATCTTGTTCTGGCAGAAATGGCGAAAGGAACTGGCTTTGCAAAGGGCCTCTGATCACGACGCTGGGGCCGGGGAAGCCCAAGGCTGCAGGGTGCAGCCACTCATGCACCAAGCCCTGCGTGTCCTCTCCAGGGAGCTGGGCTCTATGCAAGCCCCAGGGCAGATTCCGAGCTGAACACCCTGCTAATCCCCAAATGTCCCATAAAGAGGAAATTACTCACGGAGTCTCTGAAAGCAAAGTGAATCCAGGGGCTTGCCCTCCCGAAGGTTAATTATAAATTTAATTAAAATGAGTCTGCATTTTTGGAAGGAAATCCATGTGTTAAGGCCACTTGCTTGGGCCCTAATGGCTATTTATAGCTCTCAGTGCACTGAAGGGCTTTTCAGGGTAAATATAGTGTCTGTTCTGATATTGGGGACACATGCTGGCCGGCTCTGATTTCAGAGCTCTTGCCAGGGCTTTTACAGCTCTCTGGCTGCCTGACTGAGAGGCTTCCTCTGCAGTTTGAGGCTGGGCATTAGGGATCAGGACCTGGGATTCCAGCACAAGCATCCTAGCCCTCACTTCCTGTGACCCTCCTATCAGGTAGCTTCCAGGTGGCTCAGGCAGGCCGGGCAGTGAGCCATGGGGCTTCCATTCTGGTTGGGGCTGAGAAGCCTAGAAAAACAGAATGGAGCCTGTTGTACAATAAACCACCCGGAGGGGTGAATGAACTGTTAGAAAGCACAGTTTGGGTGTGTTTCTCATTAGTCACGGTAATCCAGCTCCCTGAGGCTTAGCTCCCTCATCTGTGAAATGGGCATAGCAGTATTGTCTTGCAGGACTGTTGGGAGGAAAAATAAGAAACTGCCTATCAACCTGGAATAGACCCTGTCTGACAAGAAGACAACTATTGTTATCTTTAATGATTAAGAATATTAGGAACTTATCCCAAATGTTAAATATTTTTTTTAATTAAATTTATTGGGATAACATTGGTTAATAGGATCATATAGGTTTCAGGTGCAGATTTCTATGATACGTGATCTGTATATTGTACTGTGTGCCAACCAACCAAAGTCAAATTATCTCCGTCACCATATATTAGGCCTCTCTTCAACCCCCACCCCCTTCCCTCTGGCCACCGCCACACTGCTGTTTGTGTCGGCGAGTTTCAGTTTCATATCCCACATATGAGTGAAAGCAGATGGTTCTTAGCTTTTTCTGGCTGGCTTCTTTCACTTAGCATAATGTCCTCAAGGTCCATCCGTGTTGTCGCTAATGGCAGTATCTCGTCCTTTCTTATGGCTGAGTAGCAGTCCATTGTGTACATGTACCCAGCCCTCTATCGCAGGACACTTGGGCTGTCTCCACGTGTTGGCCGCCGTGAATAATGCTGCACTGAACATAGGGGTGCATATATCTTTGTGAATATATGTTTACGAGTTTCTCTGGTATATACCCAGGAGAGGGGTTGCTGGGTCAAAGGGAAGCCAGAAGGATTAAAAATGGGGAGATTTAAATAGTTAATCTCCAATTCAAGTACTAACACCATTAAACCCAGAAGGCCTACCGTAGTGACATTCTAATTTGCGTGGTTAGGACGGTTGGGCTGACCAAGAAGTGGGCCAAGGAGTGGTGCGAGGGTGGGGAAGGGGGGCGAGAAGATGCATTTCTTCCTTGGAAATTAAGACTGACCAGGAACATTAAAAAACCAGCAACTTTTTATTGACTGCAATCTCCTAGAAATGTGTACATATCCTAAGTGTGACGCTTCCTGAATCTTCGTAAACTGAACACGTCCCTGTAATCAGCACCCAGATCAAGAAACAGCGCGTTGGCAACATGTCCCGCCACATCTCTCCCAGCCGTAAGGGTAACTGCTTCCTAACGTTTAAAGGCCTCTGTTGGTCTTACCTGTGCTTGAAAACATTCCTTATATTTAAATAGATCACAAGTTCTTTCTGTTTTGCTGAGCATTACACTTGTGAGATGCATCCATTATTGTCGTGTGAAGTTGGTGATCTTTCATTTCACTGTGTGAAGACACCTCACATTTTTTATTTATTCCTGGGAGCGGGCACTCGGCTGGTTGGCCCTACGGCGCTGTTACAGATAGTGCTGCTGCAGACACACATGGCTTTTGGTGACATGAGCACTGTTTGAATGCGAACGTATTAGGCCTTTTGGATGACAGAATAAGGAATTTTGGCTCTGATGACCTTCATGTCTGAAGACATTGGCTGCAAAAAGGAAACTGAAGAGGTAAATGTGAAGTCTACCCACTGTCTTAGTGTCAGGATTCCTTGAGCTAAGTCCTGGTATGTCACTCCACCCCCATAGGCAGGGAGGGAGGTATTTTAAATTCACTGAAATTACGAATTAGAAAACTTCTGAAGAGCATTATTTTGGAGGAACAGCTTACATTGGGAGCCTTAAAATATTATTAATATTATAATGTCTCCATGCCAAGGTTGGTTTTATTAATATTGTGCAAATGTGGCCACTGCTGTGATTGATACTTTACAAGTCCTTTGTTTGAAGATCAGCCCCCAGAGGTACAAGATCCTTTGTAAAAGAGGCTATATCTGGGTCTGCTCTGGTGTTGACGGCAGGCCTCTGTTTAAGTAGATTCAGCTGATGACAGTCACCCACCCACGTGTCCTAACAGCTCAGCCACCACTTCCACACAGTCATGCAGCCTTCTAGGTACAGTCTTCTATGCTGCTGAAAACAGTGAACCACTGGACAGTATTCCACCTAAGAATAGTAAACATCCCAGATTTCAGCTTAATGCTTCCAGGAGATGACTCAAGCTGTCCATACATATCGTTCAGATTCTTTAATTTATTTTTCAACCATTATTGTTGCACAGCTATTATGAGCTGGGCAGTGTTCAAAGTCTGAGGACCACAGCTGTGAATGAAATAAAGGTTGGTTTTTAACCTCTTGCTTTGGGAAGTGGATAATAAATCCACAAGTAAATAATTGCAGTGTGTCAGAAGGTGATAAGTCCTGCAAGAGCAAAACAAAATCAGGAGAGCAGTTGTGTCCAGGCAGGAAACAAAATCACCCTGGACCACTCAAGTGGAGAGACTTTAATGGAAGATCCTTACAGGGCTATGGAAGGGTTAAAGAAACACACAAGGGCTGAGAGGCACCCAGGGGCCAGCAACAAGGGATGGAGAAAGAGTTACTGTAGCCCAGTGAGAGGTGGAGCTTGGGGGGTGGGCATCCAGCAGGTTCTATAGTCATGAGGAGTCACAGCTACTGCCAGTGATAAAGGGCCAAAGCAGGAGGACACACCTTGACGGCTCTTTCTCCAGCCTCTGATGCCATGGCCACATTAAGCAAACATGGGGCAGGCTGGGAAGAGGCCAACCAACAGTAACTGCCTGGGTAACTTGCCTACCTGATGAGTAAGAGCTCCTGTGTGATGATTACTCCCTGGAGAACATTCTCACAGTTCCAAATATGTTCAACTCGGTGTCATTACAAGAGGAATGTTCATACACCTATTCCCCCAATTTTCTTGTCACCAATTTTTTCCCCATTGTCTCTGACCTATTGGCCAACGCGTTAGCCAACTGCTGATAGGTATGAGTAGATCTGTACCTCAGGCCATCTTCCTTCCAAAGAAAGCAGACAATAGGTATTGTTCAAAGTTCTGTGCATAGAAGGTTTTCCTTCTCCACTGTGTGTCAGAGCCACCCTTGATGGGACAGTCCACCTCTAGCTGATGCCAGTATATCAGGTTCATCTGCAAACCAGTCCCACCTTTTCCCTTTAACAGGGAGCAAAGGCAGCCAGTCGGCACAGGTAGGTATCACGGAGTGTTAAGGCAATGCTCTAGTGCCTTTCCACCTGCTTAGGTCCAAGATCAGACCTCTCTACCTGAGGCCACCCCTGCAGGGCTGATAACTGGCTGTCTGCTGACTGCACTACCAGCATCCAGGGCAACAAGTCCCTTGTTGAAGAGGAGTCGGGGTGGCGCATCACAGTGTCTATCATAGGAGAGGGGCGGAGGCAAACGGAGAATAAGTCACTCTCAGAGGTGACCAGAGGAAGTCTTGGTGAAAGAGGGCATTTGAACAGATGCCTGAAGGAAGTGATGAGGTTATATGGGGGCAAAGTGGGTTTGATATTTTCAAGGGGCAGCAAAGAGGCCAGTGCACTGTTGCACAGTGACAAGGGAAGGGCGAGTAATAGAGAAGGTTAGAGAGGGCATTGAGGGTTTACATGGACTATAGGACATGGTTATAACTTTGGCATTTGCTTAAAATGAGATGATGATCCTCGAAGAGGTCTGAGGAAAGGAAAGACATGATTTAACTTTAGTTTATATGTATGGTACCGGAATAGATTATAATGGGACAAGGACTGAAGTAGGGAGACCAGATGGGGACCTTCGCAACAGTAGCTCAGGTGAGCAGTGAGGATGACTTTGATTTGGCTTCACTGGGTAGCATCTAAGGTGGTCTGAGGTGCCTGGGTTTAGACATATTTTGAAGGTACAGCAGACAGGATTTGCTCACAGGTTGGATAGAGGGAAATAAAGGAAAGAGAGGAATAAAATTTACTCCTGGATTTTTGGCTCAAGCAACTAACAGGATAGAGTCCCTTATTTTTTAATTATTATTATTATTATTTGAGAGGAGGAAGGTTACAGGAGGCAAAGATTGGCAGTGGCTGGGTGCATTAGGAGTTTGGTTTGGTCTGTATTAATTTTGAAATCCCTGTCAAACCTAAGCGAAGGTGTTGAGTAGAAAGTTTGGTCTGCCAGTCTGGAGATAGGTCCAAGAGAGAGGTCTAGGCTTAGGATGCACTTCTGAGAATTATCACAGATGGGTGCTATCGATGGACATGCAATGAGATAAGGTCACCTAAGAGATGAGTGTGGGCAGGGGATATCTGAGGACTGAGCCCTTTGCACTCTAATATTGAGAGGCTGGGGACTTGAAGAAGAATCAGTAAAGAGACCGAAAAGGTGTGGCCAGCGTGGTGGCAGAGACACAAGAGAGCAGTGTCCTGGGGTCAAATGAAGATAGTCTTTTAAGAAGAGAGATGACATTTTGTGTTGGATGCTGCTAATTGGTCAAGTAAGACAAAGTCTGAGAAGTGACCTCAGCTTTAGGGATGTAGAGTCACTGGTGCTGTCGACAGGACTGTCTGTGAAGGTTCTCCTGAGTTTTCAGTTCTCCGTCAGCCTTACTGTCAGTGGTTCCGTAATGAGCCAGCCCTGCAAGGTGGTTCATGATTCACCCAAACTCCCTATACCTTACTCTTTGAAAGCACAGTCTTCTGCACACCTTGTATGGCCTCACCAAGTCTGAAAGATGCTCAGACTAAAGAGCCACAAGCTTGGAAGATCCTCAGAGCCACAAGCCTGCAAGATCCTCAGAGCTTGGTTGGGTAACATTAGGCAGCTTCAACTTTGACCCATGACCCTAGCGACGGGGAAGAGGCAGCACAGGGCAGAGGGCCCTCTGGCGTGGAATTATGTTTGCACTCACAGGTCTCAGGGAAGTTTTAGGTGTCCCAGTGAAAAGTCAGGTCTGCTAAGCTGGGGGGGGTTTCCTTTTCTTTCAACTTAATTGCCACAGACAGGAGATGTTCCAACCCAAACACACTCTTTAGTCTACAAAGAGATTCTTGTTCCAAATCCCTGTCTACTTTACTGCTCTTCTTAGGAAAGAAGCCTGGAAGGGAGTGGAAGGGAGGGAGGGAGAGAGAAACAGCGATGTGAGAGAGACACATTGACTGGTTGTCTCCTGCGCGACGGGAGCGAACCTGCAACCAGGTACGTGCCCTTGACTGGGAATTGAACCCGTGACCCTTTGGTGCACAGGTCGATGCTCTAACCTCTGAGCAACACCGGCCGGGGCTCTTCTTTTTTAAAAAAGATCTGTGACAACCATGACAAAGCCTTTACTTCTGACAAATCTGACTGGTGGGTACACACATGTCTGTTACATTATTTTATAATATTGAAATATTTCCTAATTGAAAAGAGAAAATAAAATAAAAAGAGAGAGAAGCAGATGGATCCTGATATCCTATGACCTCATCTGGCCTCCCAAATTCTATGTTCAAGTTGCTGTCTTCTTTCCTTCCATGTTGTCCCCTGGGAAAAGATGTCTCTCTCACGCTTCATGTGACCATTTACAAAAACAAGCACTTAGTTTTTCATGCGGTACCTTATTTCTGTCTTTCTGGTGCAGTGGTTGATTTAAGAAGAGCGGATAATACAGTTGGTCAGCCATCTAAGTGACAGAAATGTCCTTTAACTTTTAACCTTGGCTGTTCTCCAGTCCCCCCAACGTCCCTCCTGCCGCACAGCACTGACTCGTCTCTACAGTTGGCCCCGAAGGCAGCAGTGCGTTCTCGGCCATGCTGCGTCTCCACGACACCACACAAAGTTGAAGGAATGAAAAATGTTTGCGTGGCAGGCCCGCTAACCTTATGCTGGTCTTCGAAGAAGCCCCCCTCAGCCCGCCTCCCAGGTGTGGCTCCCCTCGGGGCTTGTCTGATGACAGAAACGCAGCTACGCTGCCAATTCCAAGACCATAATCAGTGAGACAGACTCTGAGCCAGCTGGGTGAGCTCGGGGCTGAATTCGCTAATCTGGAAATAGTTGGCCTGCTGGCATCGGACTGCTGCCTCCTCAGTCCTTCATCTCCGAGCACCTTGTTTCTTCTTGCCCAGCCGCCTTGGGTCAGCTGCCACCCTCGTTTGCCACCCACTGTGTAAAGCGGAGGCATCCCCCCTCGCCCCCTGAGTTCCGGGCCTGGTCGGGAAGGCCACCGAGCGCCAGAACTGGTTCTTCCCGATGGCGGTTGGTTTGCAGATTAACCGCTGCTCTGGAAACTACCTCTTCTGCCGGTGCACTGTGTAGACAGTAGACATGGGCCGGCTCTGTAACGACGGACCCCAGATGGGCATTCCTAGTGCCAGGAAAAGAAGAGGTTGAGCCCTTCCTCCTAAGAGAAGTGGTGGGGTGCCCGGAACAGAGCAGGCACCTGATCAAATTCTCTGAATGGCTGACTGAGGAGGGTTGGCTTCCAGGCTAAAAATACTTGGCAGATTTGTACTCATTTGGTCCTGGCTTTCTCTGGGACAGGGTCACTGTGATTTCTGTGTTGTTCCCCCAACTCACTGGCAAGGGCTCCAATTCTCTCTTGTTTCCTGAATACTCAGGGACCTAAGCAGTGCTTTGCACATGCAGGTACTATCAGTTCATCGTCCCGTTGTGCTGAATTGTAGGCCTTGCTCTAAGACCTTCGCACGTAGCAGCATGCTAAGTCCCCACCACCCTTCACAGAGACAGGAGTGTTCTCCTGCCCTACATACGAGAAAGCCGGGCTCGGAGAGACAAGTGACTCTCCCAAGGTCAAGACGAGGAGCTGGGAATTATATTCAGTCAGCCTGGCTCCAGAGTCCATGCTCTTGGCCATGAGCTATATTACTTCCCACAAAATGCTAAAAAATTCTACTTGATAGAGTGTACACACACACACATACACACACACTCATTTGATAGATAGATTCTTAACATATACACCCATATACATACTTCCAGATATGTCCGTATGTGTTGGGGGAGGGGGCTCTATTTGCCAACCATTGTTCTAAATGCTGGGGGTACAAAGAACAGTTCTTGCCATAGACAAGTNGTTCCAGGTATGTGTTGGGGGAGGGGGCTCTATTTGCCAACCATTGTTCTAAATGCTGGGGGTACAAAGAACAGTTCTTGCCATAGACAAGTACTTTACAATCTGTAAGAGGGGAGCAGATATTTAAATAAATTATCTTACTCTACGAAGGAATTAAAATCTGCCTGGGTCTGTGTTCGAGCAAAGGTAGGANTGGGGGTACAAAGAACAGTTCTTGCCATAGACAAGTACTTTACAATCTGTAAGAGGGGAGCAGATATTTAAATAAATTATCTTACTCTACGAAGGAATTAAAATCTGCCTGGGTCTGTGTTCGAGCAAAGGTAGGAGAAAACGGGATGCCTCTGTCTGTCTCTTGAGCTGGGTGCGGTACAAGTCTATACTCACTACTGGAAAATTCATTAGGCTCTCCACTTAGGATTTGTGTATTTTTCTCTACATATGTTAAACTTTAATAAAGTCGGCATTAAAAAGATTTAAAAGTGCCTCGGGGGCTCAGAGGACGTGGCACAGGATCGGTTCTGAGGCCAGCCTCCGCCTGCCCGGGTGTGGGATTGATCAAGGCTCCTCTCCCCAGGCGCCACCTCTGCCATCCGATGGCGTCGGCGTCCCTCACGTGGCTTCAGGGCCCTCACTCCTTCCTCGGCGCCTTCAGCTGCATCCTCCACAGATAGGAGCTTTTTTAGAGCACTAAGTGAGTGAGCGCTTAGAAACATTTCCAGGGCATGTCCTTCTCGCTAGGCTCAGACTCTGACTCGGTGTGATGGTGACACAGGGTGTAGGCAGGGGCGACGAGTCATAGGCCAGGGCACGCACCCTGGGGAGGGCAGAGGCTGTGGGCGCAAACCCTCTGCTCTGGGTGAACAGACGCCCTGGGGCCCAGCTTGCCTTCTCTGTAAGGGGCTTATTCTGGAAAACTCCATTTTATATCTCTTATATAGGCTGCATGCCACAAAACACAGACTTCCATGGGACTATCATCTGTTAGGCAGGTGCTTGAGTGTAGCCCAGACATGAAGAAGGGGGCTGGGTTTTCCCTTAGTCTCCGACAGTATAAATGTTACAGTTCAGCATAAGCAGATTGAGGGATTTCATTTGAAACAGCTTTTTTTTTTTTTTTCCAGAAATGATGTGTTCACTAAATACATTTTTGAATGAATCTGAGCAAGGACATATTTAGCATTGCTAGAATTTGGCAGTCCATTTCCCCCAAATCTCAAATTATGTGTCTAACCTGTGGCCTTAATAAAGTGTTACTTTATTGAGATATAAGATATAAAATATAAGATGAATTTACACAATATTGTAACTGAGCACCTCAGGGAACATGCAGTACCCTACTGCTTCAAACGAGACTTGCCACTTAGCATTGTTTATTTTTAGAAGCAAAAGTGCCTGGCAATTTAAGCACAACCGTTCAAACATTTGTTCCCCGTAGCTGAGATAAGATGCCATTCCATTCCACTGTCCTCATTTTGTTTCATCCCTTCAGTATCCTTGCAAACAGATTTTACTGTAGGTAGAAACTGGAAAATTTAAAAGAAAAAATAGTTTTAAACATAACACAAAATTTATTTTTAAATTCATGTCTTTTCAATGAAAATGAAAAAGAAAGTATGGGATAGTTACCCATACTACCCATTTGTGTGTGTCAGTGAAGGAAAAAATTCTGGACTCTTCTGTTAGCAGACCTGGGTGGGCGACAGTTACATTCTTTGCAGCAAAAGCCTCGCTCCCTCCCTCCTGCAGCTCCATTCCGCTTAGTGCTCATTTATTAAACTCACTGCCAGGAAAGCTGGAGATGTTCATTTAAACTAGAGTGTCAATGATTGATATCTTCAGTAAGCATTATCCCACTTAGAGATGCTGGAAGTAGAGGCTGAAGCCAAAGGCGTTTAGTGAAGGATGAGACGTGAGTGGGAGCTGCAGCCGTCTGAAGCCCACCCCAGGGGTGATCACTGTGGACACGAGGCCCGGCTGGTCCTGTGCAGCTCCGGCAGCCACAGCATGGCTCGCACATGGACACCTGGACTGGGGCCCCTGGGGGCAGATGGCAGGGAACTCACGAGGACGTGCCCCATGAGGCTGGGAGCAGCTTCTGTTTCCCAAACATCTCCCGAAGCCTCGGGTTCCAGGAATTTGTGTTGACAGCGCTGGCTGCCTTTCTGTGCCCCCTGCTTCTCCATGAGCCCAGGCGGGCTGCCGCGTATCTCCCAGGGCCAGGGCGGTCACGGCCTCGCAGAGGGCCACGGAGCCCCAGGCGAGGCTGTCACAAAAGGCACAGTGAGGACAGGGTGTGGGGCTACGTTCCGGGGCTTCCTGCTGCGGTCAGTCTGGTGAAAATCCAGCTCCCAGTTCTACCCAATTTGGACCTGGCTTTTGTATCACAAGTTTCAGAGCCCAGCCAGTGTGTCCTTGCAGACGGGTGGTTAAGAGCGAATTCTGGAGTCATCGTGCTCAGTTGCCCTGGGGGTTTGCGCCCATCTCTTATTAACTGTGCAGCTTTAAGCTGGACATGTCACCTCGTCTGCAAAACTGGAGCAACAGGAGCAGGGCCGCAGGGTGGCTGTGAGGGACTCAGGGAGCTCACCCGTGGGAAGTGTTCAGCATAGCATCTGCCACACCTGTTACTTTTTGTCATTGTTGCTGGCTCCAACCAGGACACTGGCACTGGGCATTGCTGTTTTTCTGTCCCCACCCTCTGGAAGCCTCGTGCCTTCTGAGATGATGGTCCTCACTTGGCATCTTTCACAGAACCCAGCAGAGGGGTTGCTGAGAAAGAGCCTCTCTAACCTGACATCTGTGTATGTTTTCGTGGACTTGAATTTTCAGGTAAAATAGGTGGCTTCATACTCAGTTACCTACCAAACAAGCCTATGAGTTGGGTAAGTTCTGACCCCTCTCCAGAGCTTCCCGCCATCCTTAAGTATGGCCTGGCGGTCAAGAAGCTTACGGGTAACAGTAACACAGGCATGGTCACCAAACCCTGGAACCGCGGTCGGCTGTGCTATTTTACAAGGAAGAAAGGAACCCAGGAGTTGTACAGGATGAATGTAAGTGTATGTACATGTATGTGTAAGATGAAGCTATCGCTCAGAGGTCCCCGTCAAAGAGAATGCTGTGGCCTTGTACGACCTGGCCGAGTCTTTCTGCTAGAGACACAAGTTCTGTGACATGGCCTTGTCTTTCCGTCAGGAACAGCAGCTGAGTCTCTACCCATTAAAGTATTTATTAGGAGTCATAGCTCAGGACCTTTCCCCCTAAGCTGTGTTTAAGAATGGAATGACAATGACTTCATTTCTTTAAGATTTTACTCTGTGCCAAGCATTTTTTTAATTTTTATTTTTTTAAATCCTCACCAAGGATATTTTTTCCATTATTTTTCAGAGAGAGTGGAAGAGAGAGAGAGAGAAACATTGATGTGAGGGAGACACATCGATTGGTTGCCTCTCGTATGCACCCCAACCAGGGCCTGGAATTGAGCCTGCAACTGAGGTACGTGCCCTTGGCCAGGATCAAACCCGGGACCCTTCAGTCCCAGGGCTGACACTCTAACCACTGAGCCGAACTGGCTAGGGCTGTGCCAGCATTTTAGAAACATAAGTTCTTTAAATCCATGAAAACATTTGAGACTGGCATCCCCACTTCACAGATGAGGGAATAGCTACAGAGAGGTTAAGAAACTAACCTGGTCACAAGAGTAGCAGGTGGCAGAGCTGTGACCAAGGTTGATGGTCCTCCAACACCTACATGGACCCTTGCTGGTCCGTCAGAACTGGAGCACCCTGGACGACAACTCAGCAGTATGACCAACCATGGTCCCATGTGTGCGGCCTTCAGTCCTCTAGTCCAAGGTCCACAGTGATTTGGAAATGGTTGCATACATCATGCGGGCCACCATGCCCAGGGGCCCTGAGCAGGAAAGCCTTGTGAGCCCCAGTTAGGGATGGGGAGTCTCTACCTGGCACAAGTTGGAAGCAAAGAGCCCACTGGCATCCTCCTTGACCCCTTCTGAGCAGTCTTCATGTTTCATGTAGTCACTAATTTCTTATAGTCACGAATCCATGCAGTGCTATGTGTCCCCCGGCTGTGTCATTTCTTCCATAACCACCTCTTTCCACTTATCACGCCCCTGTGTCCCTATGCTCAGAGGCACCAATGTGACAGCACAGAGGCGGGACCTAAGCCACACTCTACAGTGTCCTGTTATAGTATATTTTTTAATGTGAATTGTCTGCTAAAACTTAAAAACTAGGATACTTTACACAAAAATCTGAATACGTTCTGACAACACTAGATTTGCATGGCAGTTATCAGTGGGGACTGAAGTCAGTGCCATTGTGATTTTCTTTCCTTTGTAAGTGACTTGGTCTTTGTGCCTGGAGACCCAGAGGACTTTTTTCTTTAATAGTTTTAGCAGGGTATGTCTGGGACGTGAAGGTACTGTGACATTTTTTCCAGCTATGTGGAGGGAGCTTTCCATATATAGATTTTGTTCTTTCATTCAAGAAAGTTTCCTTGAATTTTACTTTGAAATATTAGTTGTTTCATTGCTTTGTCCTTTTGCAGGGACTCTAGTACAAATACGTTTTAACTTAGCAACTGTATGGTGGCCAGTGGCCAGTGGCCAACTGGGGATCGGCTTCAGTGGTCCAAATAGAAATCAGTTTAACTGGTGGGGGCAATTATTTATATATTAATGGAAATGTCTGAAGTCCCTAGGATATACCTGAACTGAAAAATACTTAAACATTCTAGCAGGCATCTCATTCACACAGTTGAAACTAAAAGAGACATCCAGAAAGAGGCTTACTCAAGACCTTGAGAGACCTTGGGGGATTCCAGGACCTGGAGAGGAGCCTCCAAGGGTCCATGGCCTGGCTCTTTGCTGTGAAAATCCAGGCATTGGATTTTGACATCCTAGTCACTGATGATAAGACTTGGGAAAGGTGTTTTATACTCACCAAGCCCAGAAGGGATCTACCCACTGGCCTGATGCTAATTAGCTTACAGAGCTTTGTGTATCCAGCCCGAGAAATGAAGGAAGTCATTGTTCAGGGTTCTTTTCTTGGTAAAAGGCCCGCTTAGGAGACCAAACTAAGTTGCTCTAAAAGCTGCTTGGAGAACACAGAAGATGAAAAAAGAAATTCTCTGGTCTTATGTACACCAAACTTGGATAATAATTTTTGAGAAGCTACCATTTCAAACTGGAACATGGAGACCCTAGTATCTTTCATGTACTTGCATCAGAGTTTTGCTTTAGTTCTTTGATTTTTTTTGTTCCCAGCTAAGGATAATCTTTACAAACTCCTCTTTCAAGCCCTAGGAGCCCCCTTTCATTGCCAGCTTTCCCAGATTCGGCAGAGGTATCTGTGTCTCACCCTTGGGGTTTGTTGTTTATTTGTTGTTGTAGAAGTGACCTAAACCTAAGGCTTGAATATCCTGATAGTGCTGAATTCCACATGCCCAGCACCTCTGTCTCCCTACACTTGGCAGCTGTGCTGTGGCTGTCATCGGGGCTGAGGTCCTGGATATCCTTCTGATGTTGACCAGTGCCATCCTGCTGGGCTCCACGGTGAGCTATCACAGGTCTGGGTTCCACTGGTTCAAGGCGGATGCCTCTGTAGCCATCCTCACGGTGCTCGCAGGTGCTCCCAACAGCATCACTCCAACAGGCACACTCCCTGCAGCCTGCCCCAGAGGGAACTGCAAAGCTTCAGGCTGGCTCTTTCCTGTGGGTGGGGAGTTCAGCAGAATAGCTGGTCCACTGGAATGGTCGCTGAGTTAATCCCATTGGGGGAAGCAATGATGCTATGGACGACTGATGAAAAGAAAGGGGGTAGGCACAGATGGTGAATAAAATTTATCAATGTGTGTTATCAACCCTGGGAAGGGAGTCCACTGGCTCTGAAAACAGAAATTGCCTGATTTAGTACAGTGGTTAGGTGTGAGTCTGTGGAGAAACCCTGTCTGGGTTCAGACCTCTGTTACTTAATGGCTGTGTGACCCTGGGCAAGTTACCTAACTTCTCTAAGCTAGATATCTCAGGAGGCTATGGTATGACTAAGTAAGAATGTACCTAGTATATAGCAAGCACCTAGTATATAGCTTTGCAGTTCCCTCTGGGGAAGGCTGTGGGGAGTGTGCCTGTTGGAGTGATGCTGTTGGGAGTACCTAGTTCCTTGAGTGTATCCAGGGTCATTATGAACAAGGATTGGGGAGTGTGGCACACTGTTTTATTGTTCACAGACATGTAGTGCCCCTCACTTCCCATGGGAACATGATACAATCCTACCCTAGGGTAGCCAGGCTTGGCCACGTGACTTTCTTAGGCCAATGAATTGGGAGCAGAAGTGAGGTGAGTCGCTTCTGGTCAGAAGCTTGCAAAGCCAATGTATTGTCCACCTGGTTTTTATTTCCTTGCCTCTGTGATCACAGAAGCACATGTCTAGATAGAGCCTCCATCAGCCTGGGTCCCTGAATGGCTACAGTGAGAAGACATCCCCTGTCACCCTGAAAAGTACACATAGAATGAGCTACAAATGAATTCGTTGGTTTAAACCACTGGGATTTGGGGGTTGTTTGTTACTGCAGCAGAACCTAGCCCAGCGGGACTAATACCTCCAGCCTCAGACCAGTCTTTCGCAGCCTCCCAAACAGCATCCATTACGATACTAGTCTCAGATAATTTGTTTCTGGTTAGAGGGAAAGGAACAAAGTTAGTAATGATTTTTTAAAATGAATTTGAACAGTTTCAGAACTATCTCTGTTACTAAGTGACCCAGTTACTCGCATTCCATCATGCTTTCTGGAGTATGAAAGGAAAGGAAGAATTCACTGCGCACGCACCAGGTACCGGGCGGGAGCCACCAGTAAACTTATTTTGTGCCCCTGGGAGGTGTGCTTTGCCTTTATCATTGTCATGTTGCACAACTGCTGGCGAAACACGCATTACTGCCTTAGCTGTGCGGTTCCTTTGAAAGAGCTCAGTCCGTGAATATCCACTTGGTGTATGGATGTAGCCAAATGCTGGTTTGGGGGTGAGTGACAGATGGAGGACTGTCCCCCTGTGGGGTTCTGCCCCAGGTGGGTACCCACTTTCTCCCCATTAAAACTTTAGCCCAAAATTGATTCATAGACTGTGGAGTGGGAAGAGCCTGGGGAATCACCCAGTTTACAGGAGTGTATCCAGAGACCTCGGGGGCACAATGACTGGTAAGAGACCAACAGGTAGAGCAGTTGCAGCATTAGAGCTCAGGTCTGCTGAGGTCAGGTCAACATTGTGCCCACCACATCACTGACCTAAAGCAATCTAGCGGGACAGTAGGGAAGGTGCCAGGGGTGCGAAAATGTCTGAGAACAGGGAGCTGCTCCCCATCAGGGCTGGTAGCAGCTACAATGGATCAAGATGCAAAAGCTGAGGGCATAGGTCATCCACTCTTCAAAGGAATGGCTTTCCTAAAAGTGGTCCAATAGTCCCCACATTAGCCTTGCTTTGCAAATTAACTGAGATAATAGATAGGAAACTTCTCTCACAGTTAATATGCACTTAAACCTTTTTGGAATAAAACGAGCCCTGTTGGGCAGTGCAGGTTTTATTGTGCTTCATTTTATTGCGCTTTGCAGATATTGTGATTTTTACATGTTGAAGGCAAGACCCTCCACCAGCAAAGAGATTACAGCTCGCTGAAGGCTCAGATGATGGTTGGCATTATTTAGCAATAAAGTATTTTTAACTAGTATGTACATTGTTTTTTAAGACTTAAAGCTATTGCACATTTAATAGACTACGGCATAGTGTAAACATAATTTTTATATGCACTGGGAAACCAAAAAATTCAAGTGTCTCGCTTTATTTTGATATTAGCTTTATTGAGGTGGTCTGGAACCGGACCAGCAATATCTCCTAGAGGCTGTCAACCTTAAGATTTGCCAGCTCGTCCTCCTAACTCTGGGCCTCACTCCTTGCACTCCAGCACCACCCCTCTGTTGGGATACTTTCCAACTTGCATGTGTAGCAGTTCATCTGTCATATAACTGTCCACAAGTGGCCCGAAGGAGGGCATGCGCACCGCCGGGGCTGAGGGCCAGAGTCAGGGACCCAGCTGCTAATCCTCAGCTGCAGGGGCCTCATAGCTTTTCATTTAAGTGAACTTTGGATTGATGTAGTCGATCACTTTTTCCTGGTTGACTTTCTGATTTTGGCAGCAGTGGTGGTATTATGATCACAGTAGCCACTGGACCTGAGTTCTACCAGGAAGGCCCCATAGCACTGGGGAAATCTCAGCACTCACAGAACACGGTGGGGCTGCTGCGGCCCTTTTCCCATGTCATCTCATCCCATCCTCATTACAACCCTTTGAGTCAGGCGGCAGTGAGAGCAGCAGATGGACATCAGGCAGGGAATGTGGCAGTTACATCCGAAGGCCTGGCTCTGCCACAGGCAGCAATCCCAGGAAGTTTCTTGACCTCTCTGAGCCTCACTTTCTTCATCTGCAAAATGGGTATAATAAAAGTCCTCCAATGTGAAAGTAGCTTGTGAACTGCCTTACACTTGTTTTCGTGTCTCATTATTGATAAAAGAGGCAAGTACAAACGTCCAGATATTGCAGATCTGATGGCCAGGCTCAAACAGGTTGGGAGAGCCAGGAATGAAACTGGGGTTTCCCACTTGAGACCCCAGTGTCTTTTTCTTCGTCACCACCTGCTGTCTTTCCACACAGTGCAGGGACGACTACGGGTCCGTCCTGTCTTCTGAAGAGGCTGCCTTTTCTCATGGAGCAGGGCAGAGGCCAGGTACGGAGCCAGGGGCAGGGCGGGAGGAGGCCGCGGCTAGCCCAGGAGAGAAGGGAATTTACAATGGCTTAGAAGGATGAGCGCAGACAGAGACCACAGTGACCCCTAGATTACTACCAATCCTCAGAAGTGGTGTTCCTTTTGAACAGGCCAGCAGGATTAAAAAGAAAAATCTTTACAAATCCCATGAAGCCAGAGTGGCGGCTGCTACATAGCTCGACAGTGCTTGGCCGGCCAAGCGGCGCAGCCAGCCAGCCTGGGAGGTGGTGTCCGAGTCCCCAGAGATGGCCTCTGTTGTGCCTCCTTTGCTTGTTCCCCCACCCTTCATGGGGTGCCCAGGCCCCTGTCCTTAAACTTTTTGAGCTTGGCAGAGCAGCATAGAATGTGAAATGAACACATTTTGCTGACTGCTTCGTTCTCCTAAGGGAAAGGACATTTTGTCCAACAGGACAACATCATTTCCAATGTTCATTTCAGAGGTGCCAGCCCCCCTTAAAGGCATGTCAGGTATAGGGAAGGAAGCGCAGAGCTGTTCCAGGTGACTCATGCAGAGGCTGTCCTGAACTAGCACTCGGGTGAAGGTCCCCAGGGGTGTCAACCTCCAGGGGTCAGAGAGGGAGTTGATTCAGAGGGAAAGTATCCAGTGAGCCCCTTTCTTGGGAGGCAGGAGCATCCTCTCAGGCTGGAGTCCTTATGGCCAGGTCTCCTTGGTGCCCCTCACCCTTGCTGACCTCTCTCTAACGCACTATTTGGGTGCCTTTGCATTTGCCTCCGAATCTCCCAGGCCTTGTATAAATCGGTGAAGCAGGGGGAGAGAGAGAGAGAAACCTTGATGGGAGAGAGACACACATCGATTGGTTGCCTCCCACACCCACCCCAACTGGGGCTGGGGAACCAACCTACAGCTGGGGTACATTGCCCCTTGGCTGGGAATTGAACCTGAGACCCTTTGGTGTGTGGGCCGATGCTCTAACCACTGAACCACACCGGCCAGGGCGCCTTTCCTCCTTGTTAGTAAAATGATGACAGTATTTAGAGACCCTGGTTTCCTGGACGACCATATATTAAGAAACATAAAAATGTGAGGCTTTTTAGATTGCTGGACACAAACTTGTTTGTTGATAATTATAAGATAATTAATTCCCTTCAGCTAAGTTTTGGGTATTGTGGGTAACAGGCCAAGTCTGGCTAAGTTAAGAAATGTGATCCCCTCGTCTCCTCTATCAGTATCCGGCCGCACAGTCTTCCATGGGGGCGCTTTTACCTCCAGCTCTGCCATCAGAAAAATGAATCTGTTGTTCTAGATCAGCCTTTTCCAAAGACCTTTCCACTGAACACGCCTCTCAGAATCTTAACCCTTATTTTACACAGACATTTTTTTCTACAGTCAACTAATTTGAGGAAATACTGGGAGATGGAACAGTGATAGGCTGCTTTATTGTGGGACTTCTCAGATATTTTAATGGACTAATGTGCACTGTGAATTCCCCAGAAGAAAACATAATAGCTGACATTTTCCAAATTCATTTAACTATTCAAATTCTTTTTATTTAGTTTTACAAGGAATATCTTAACAGGCATCTCTGTGGAGTGATTTTTGAGTAAGCCCACCAAGGCTCTTAGTAAAGTCTCTTTCTGGCTTGACATCAAGTATATAAGATGCACATAAATCAGAAAGGGGTCAATACATTCTGTGTTTCCATTTGGCCTTGTCCGTGAATCACTGAGAGCATCAACCCTCCGGGGACTTCTGCATGAGTTCCTGACAACATATGAGAGCCTCTCAGTGCTGTGACCCACGAGAAGGTGGTGTGTGGTAAACACTCCAGGGCTGACAAAAGCGCCAAGGGAACTCCCATCTCTGGAGAAAGAAGCCTGAAAGATCCGTGCACAGACCCTGACTGCACTTTCCTGTTTTAGGCTGACAAAGCCCCCTCCTCCCACCTGGGTAACCTTTTTATTTTTTTAAATCAGGAAGCCCAGGGGCAATTTATCATCTGTCTGCATAGTGCTTGTAGAAATATAACGAGGCACATGCCATATGCAGGTAGATAGTTTGCAGCTGGTCTGCTCCTGCCTCAATCTCATAGCTTCTCTGTTGCTTAAGAGATGAGGTTTCCAATCCCCTCCTCTCCTCAAGCCCAGCCCACAAGAAGTCCTTTCTCCCAGTCCCCGTGTCCCTGGGGAGGCAGTTCCCATCTACCTGCTTTCCTAACTCCTGTTCTCAAGTTCAGCTTCTACCATGGCCTTGCCTCTCTGGCATTACAAATAGTGACGCTTCTAATTTTCCCAATTAGGCTTTTCATACTAGGGGATGTTGTCCCATCCAGTTCCTTGTCCTGGAGTGACCATGACCTTATGTTGCAGGGGAGGCGAGGCCTCGGGTGACAGCGAGAGCCCGGGGAGTTAAGTTCTTCTGTGTGAGGCTGCCTCCTCTCCCTGCTTTGTGTTCAGATACAGACACTGGGCTGTCCTGCCTCGGACCCTTGCTCACTCTGCTGTCTGTCTGGCGTATCTTCATGCCCGATCTCCATCTGTTACAACCAGCTCCGCTATGAGGCCTGTGCAGCCACCACCTCCTTCCGAAAGCTTCCCCGGCCCCGAGCTGTAAATAAGCTCTTCCTCCTTTCCGAGCCCACACCCCACACGGTCCTTGTTACAGCCATTATTGTGTGTTCCCTAGTTTTGGTTTCATCTCAGCTCTTACCCTGCGGTTCAGCAGCTTCGCATCCCCTTGCTCCGAGCCCTGTGGCCATATGGACATGGTTTTTAGTGAATTCATTCCAGCTACAGTGAGTCCCCCGTCCAGAGGGCTTTGCTCTACCCTGGGGCATGGGAGAGCTTATCAGAAATACAGATACCACCAGATATAGAAGAGAGGGGAGTAAAAAGCAATGCTCCGAGGGTGGGAAAAGAAAAGGAAACTAGATGCCCCAGGAAAAGTAAAGAGCTCCACAGGACTTAAGCAATGAGCCTGAGGTCAAGAGAGAAACTGGAAGGGGACGGTCCTCTCCTTCCCACACCCAGCTGTGCTTTTCCAGCGGGAAGGGCGAGCATCACGCAGCAGGGGCCTGGGGTGCAACCAGGCTCCCATCACCGAGGAGTCCAAGAGGCAGGAACACTCTTTCCTGAAACACGTGCTCCAAATACCCACCCTCCCCTTCCCTCTTTCTCCTCTCCCTTCACCGTTTCCCTCACCACCAACCTGCCAAACCCACAGGAGTTCAAAAGATGTTGACGAATCGGGACCGAGTAGTAGGGTGGGGAAGGGAATGGGCTTGTCACCTATGAAACGGAAACCTCTCTGAGCCTCAGTTTCCTCATTTGTGAGCTGAGAAAACAATATTTCCTTTGCTGGGTTATGTCAAGGGCAGCCAGAGATGGTTTAACTTGTTAAGGGTTTTGCTTCTGGAAGGTGCTCCTCAGAGGGGTCCCTTCCCATGGATGGTGCTACAGGTCTGCTTCCCAAGGCAGCCTTCCAACCCTAGACCCTTAAAAGTCGAACAAGGTCACTTTTGATTCTCTAGGGATTGGGTGATTCTCCAGGAATTGGGTGATTCTCCAGGGATTGGGTGATTCTCTAGCAAACGGTGAAAGCTAATGTTTAATAAATACTGATACCATGTCAGGCACTGTTGCAAGTGCTTTGTGTGAATCCGGCCATTTGATCTTTTTATTACTATTGTTCCTATTTCCTAGATGAGAAACTGAGGCTCAGAGAGGTGAAGGGACTTTCTCAAGGATGCATGTAGGCAGCCAGCAGCCGAGCTGGGATTCGAACTTGGGCAGCCCATCCAGAGCTCCTGCTCTCGGACACTGTCCTGCACCCGCCACCCCCAGAGCCTGCGGGCACGCTCACCTGCGCTGCCGAGGCTCTCCTCGCAGGACTGCCAGCCCCACGTGGAACCTGCGCTGGATGAGCTTGCTGTCCCCTGTGTCCCAGATGTACCGAACAGCCTGGCTCTCACTGTCCCTTCTACTGTCACCACTGCCCCTGCTGAAATGAATGCAGTGCAGCCCTCCTGCATGGTCCTGGCACAGTGGCTTTGCCACCCTAGGGGTCCCCTCACACCAGTGGCTGCTGCCTAGGGCTGTGAAGGAGAAGGCCGGGGTGAGGCAGATGGGGGGAGGGCCAGCACCCTCTGCTGCCGGGCCCTGTCCATGGCTAACTGAGGTGTGCAGAGTCAGAATGAGCAGTGCCCCCCCATCATGGTACCCACCCTCCCCAGCCCTGCCATCTGGCATCCTCACAGTCTTCTTCGATGTTCCCTGGGGAGTTGGTGCACTCCAGCCAGTGGCATCCACGTGAGTACTTGTGGCCTGAGGGAGCCAAGTGAGAAAGCACAGAGCTGGGACGTGCTCCCATCCCAGTCCTCCCCAGGGCATAGATTTCGGAGGGCGCTGGTTTTCAGCTTTGTTTTCATTGTAGTGAGACATATGTAATGTAAAATTTACCATCTTAATCATTTTAAAGCGCACAGTCAAGTGCACTCACATTGTGCAGTCTGTCTGCAGAATTTTTCATCCTGCAAAACTGAAACGCTGCACCCATTCAGCACTAGCTCCCCAGCCCCCCACAACCACCACGCCACCCTGTCTCTATGAACTGGATGACTCTGGGTATACGTGGAACTTGTCTTTTTGTGACTGGCTTATTTCACTTAGCAAAATGTCCTCAAGGTTCGTCTATGTTTACACGTGTCAGAATTTCCTTCATTTTAAGGGCCGAGTAATATCCCCCTGAGTGGATATACCATATATTGTTTACCCATTCATCTGATGTACACCTGGCTTGTCTCCACCTTTTGGCTATTGTGAAGGGTGTTGGTTTTTGACGGAAGATCAGAGGAGGTTTGGGTGGGTTTCTGGATATAGTCTCCCCACCTTGCTTTNTGGTTTGGGTGGGTTTCTGGATATCTGGATATAGTCTCCCCACCTTGCTTTTTGCACTGAGCAGGGTCCTCAGCACTTGGAAAATCTCAAGGCCTGCACTGCCTGTTCCCTGCCCAGCCAGTGAGGGGGGACTCCCTGTTGGAGGGACTCGGAGAGACTCGAGGCACAGACAGCCTGTTTCAGGCCTAAGTGCTGTGCAGAACAGGGGAGGGTGCTTGCACCCCACGTGGGTACAGAATTCAGCACTATCCCAGAGCCTCAAAGCTGGCAGGCAGCACCCTTGGCCCATCACTCATGACCTTTCATAGGGGACGCTGCAGCAGTGGTGACGCCAGGGAGACTTAAGTTGCTTCTTGGGCAGAGGACATTCATGGAGCAGTGAGGGCAGGAGAGCAGCGGAAGATGCCTCTTGGTTACCTCTGAGACACCTCCTGAAGACGCCTGGGTATAACTGAGAATCTGCCAGCCTGGGCAGGTAGGAGAAAAGGCAGTGCCCTGTGGGTTNACGTGGATCTGAAACATACAGGCTCTTGGTTACCTCTGAGACACCTCCTGAAGACGCCTGGGTATAACAGAATCTGCCAGCCTGGGCAGGTAGGAGAAAAGGCAGTGCCCTGTGGGTTGGCATCGCTCATCTGTGCTTCCCTGCTGGTGAAGGCTGGGAAGTGTGCTGTCAGGAGCCCGGGAGTCGTGAGCATTTGGTTTACCAAGTTTTCTCACTAGATGGCATCCATCTAACGGACGGGGAAGTCGTGTGTGGCCCCAACCCCTGTACCTTCAGAAAAAAGATTTTTTTTAAGAAAAACCGATTAGATAGAATATTTGTACCAACCAGGCATTTTCTTTGCCAGTGTGCAACTTGGAAAATAGCCTTAAATGTGCAGTTACAGAACAACCTTACAGCCATATCAAAAGGCTCAGAGCCCGTCGCCCGAGTACTTTCCTCCCTCTGCGTCACTTCATCCTGCACTCTGTTGTCCCCAAGAGATGACCACATTGATTCCAGAGGTTACATCGTTAAAAGAGTCCATTTGGGGTCTTTGTTCATTATGAACATTCATTGCTAAGGTTTAAACTCTTGTCACATAGAGTTTTTAAGACTCGCAAGGATTTCCATGAAGGGATGCTCACCTGTTTGTCTCCAACTGTTCAGAATTCACTCAGTTGGAGAAATTAGCCAAGGTGAGCTCCCATGGTTCAACTTGGATGGGGGGAGAAAAGAGAACAGGTTCTTTTTATCTCTTGAGGGCCTACATTTCATCCAACCAGGGTGCGTTCTCCCAGGGTCCTCCAGTTCAGGAGGCTGACAAGACTTGGAAGGGGCTGCTGGGAGCCCGACAGGGAGAGGTGAGGCGAGAAGGGCCAAGCAGAGCCTTTCAGAGGCTCAGTGATGAGACTGCTGGAGAAACGGAACTCGCCTGGAGAGTTAGGGTAAGATAAGACGACTTACCAAATAGCTGTGGTCAGGTGACTGGTCAGAAGACCTGGGTTAGTCTCTGCCACTTACTTGCTGTGTGGCCTTGGGCAAACAACCTAACGTCTCTGAACTCGTTTCTCAGCTGTCAAGTGGAGAAATATCACGCTCTCCCAGGGGTATTGTGAGGATGAATGATAGAGGATATTTGGTGAACGGCTTTTGTAAATGTGACTTGTCATGAGCAAGCACAAACCCCATAGTTAGTAAGTGGTGGGTCATGGATTCCATAGCAGGGTCGGCCAGGTGGACTGAGCGACATGTTCAGAGCAAGTGGGCAATGAAGAGGAGGGCTTATGGGACTTGTCACATGTTGTTTTGCTACTGTGTAGACAGAGCCTCTGTCTTGAGTCTCTGATTGGGTTTTTGCTTCACACTTGGGTCAGAAGCTGCTCTCTCCTGGGCCTGGCAGCTTTCTCGTGAAGTCTTGGCACAAGCAGGGCCCAGAGGAGGCCTGGACAACCTTGGTGGCTGGCTCAGCCCGGCCTGGACAACCTTAATGTCTTAGTAAGAAATGGGTCCGTCATGAAGACACCCACCTCAGAACTGGCTCAAGGTCTGGCCTCTTGGCCGGCTGTTCCTCAGTGGCTCCAACCCGAGCCTGTCACGCACCCGGGTCTTGTGTCCTGAGCCAGGCCTTGGGGGTGGGACCCACGGATCGCTTTGCTTTTTCTCCTCGGCTCTGCAGAGGACGTCCCAGAAAACACAGCTGACTTGGGGGAGGTCTGGGAAAAATCTCCCTGCCTTTGGGGGGGCCGGGAGGGGGCCGAGCCACGGCTGATGAGAACTTGGGAGAGTCAGGAGCTCGGTCTAGACGGGCGCAGGCGCTGTCGCCGCGGCGTGGAGAGCAGCTGGGCCAGCATCGCCTCGCGGCGCGCAGGGATGCGAGAGGAGGCTGCCTGTGGGACATCTGGGGCTGGACAGATGTGCCCGCGCCTGTGAGGGCACCGCGAGGAAGATGAGGCGGGAGCCGGGCAGGGTGGGGCC